CCTCGGTGCTTGCTCCCATTTGTTCTCGGGCCAGTAAATTGCTGGTTGGTTGTGGCCTTCACCTGAAGAACTGCCAGCACTGCAAAGTGGAGTGGGTCGGCGAGATGCCGCCCAATGCGATTATTGTCATCCAACAGTGTGAAAATATCAATAAATGTGATAGTGTTCAGCCCCCTGCTATTTTGTTCCCATTACTCTTTTCCACGTGGAGGAGGAACAGCATTACTCGGGTGTTTTCTCCACAGCACAAATACTATTTCGGGGTGCTAATAGTCACTGGAGGAACTGATATGATATTCCACTACTTTGGCAACAAAGAAAATCACAATACAAGTACTAAACAAGAATTGATATTGGAAGAAAGCCGTCAACAATATATCTATTAGTCTATTTTCGTGAGTTTTCTGTAACACCCCAAAGATGCCACAAAATACCACCGAATCCCTTGATAACTGGCAGAATTATTGAAGTGATACCGTACATCTTGATTAAGAGACAAAGATCTTGAAATGTTAGAAAGGAGCTAAATTTAGCCTTGGTTCACTTTGGACCAGATGTTCAACCTCCTCTCTGTACTCGGAGTCATTGTTGTTCATGATGTGCCCTGCTAAAGCTGTGTTACCCGCAAATTTCACTCCATGACAGCTCTGGAATTTCACAGAGCAGTCATGGGTCAGTTGTGTGAACAGGAGGGGACTCAGTACACAGCCCTGGGGGAATCCAGGGCTAAGGATAATGGAGGAGATGATGATGTGGATCCTGCAAGACTGTTGGTCAGAAAGTCCAGGACCCAGCTACCCAGTGGACTCAACTCGAGAATGTTCATCTGTTGCAGCAGGTTCTGTGGGATGATGGGGGTGAAGGCAGAGGTGAAATCCAGGAAGACCAGGCGGAGGCAGGAATGCCTGCTTTCCAGGTGGTTGAGGGCTGTGTGGACTGATGCACTGATGAGATGCCATGGTCAGTTCATCCTGGAGGTATACTGGTGAGAGTCCACACTGTCGCTGAATGAGTTTTTCATCTGTGCCATGATCAATTCTCAAAGCACTTCATGACTACTAGCATATGAGCTCTTGGCTCTCACTCAGACCTATCACTGTGCAGGTCTTGGGTACGATGGGGGTGATGGAGGCAGTCTATAGGCAGGTGTTCAAAATGTCTGTTTATACCTCGGTGTAGCTTGCGGGCACAATCCTTCAGGAGACCCGCTGGGATATATTCTGGACCGGAAGCGTTGCAGGGGTTAATCCTTTGAAGGGTTTTCCTGACATCTGCTGGGAGATCACCAGGGGGTGGCGTGAGTCTGACGAAGATGGTGTTGTTGTTGAAGTCCTCAACGCGGGACGAGGGACTGGTTGAGGGCATTTGGGCTTTTGAGCTTTGTTCATCCTTGGTGTTGTAGTTTGTGATGCACTCAATGCGTTTGCACATGCTCTAAGGGTCAATGGAGGGGAAGTGGCCCTGGATTTTTTGAGCAGAGGAGTATTTAGCCCTTCTGATGCCCACAGTCAATTGTCTGTGAGGGCAGCATCCCAAGCATTCAGCAGTGCTCTCACGTCTGCATTCAGCCAGGGCTTCAGGTTTGGGTACATGGTGATGGAGACAGACAGCATTTGCACATTTTAAGATGAAGCCCAGGACTGATTAAACATATTCCTCCAGGTTCACTTCTCCTTCCTGAGCAGCTGCTTCGCTGAACATTGATCAATTTCTGCACTGGCAGTGTTGAAGCACGGAGGCAGCATCATTGGGCCACACCTTGATGCTCCAAACTGCGGGCTTGGACTGAGTGCATGGTTTAATGAGGGTAGGGGGGGATTCAGGAATTTGTGTGACCCCAGATGTAGAAATCCATGTCAACTCGATGAGTATTTGATTAGGCATTAGTGGTTGTGACGATTAAATCTTCGATGTTGATTGATGGTTAATTAGAACGCTTAAAAGATTAAATTGGAGGATTATAATTGGGTTCATTATTAAGCCATTTGTTTTATTGTGTGCAAATAGTGCTTGATGTTCTTCATTTTGCATCCTTGCAGGCTTTCCTGCATAGTTCCATTCATCACCCAAACAATCGTATGCACAAAAGGAATTAACCGAAAGGCCTATAATGAGTCGCCGAGGCGTCCGTCTTGATGGTTTTATTATGGATTGGAGATGTTTAAGCAGAAGTTATGCCCTCACAGAAGTATTTGGGGAAATAGAACTCCAAACAATTACATTGTGCAGAGTGGGAAGGCTGTAAAGGCTGATGGATGATGAAGGAGATGCTTTGAGACGGCAGGCACCTCGGCCATTAATCTACAGAACTCTCGTCTGTGTTCATGGCAACCCCAGGCTCCTATTATTCATTTAGATGTTGCCCATTATCAGTTTGTTGTGAGAGTCTGCCTCTAAAACATTTGGAGGATGCTTTTGATGCCCCTTCCAACAACTCCTACATCCCCACTTAGCCACGAGTTCGAGGTGGCGAAGCCTCTTAACCGACACAGCCACCGTATTTTAGATGGAAGCGTCCTTGAAGTGGTATGTGGAACCTCTTTGCAAAACGTTAAAGCAACTTCTCTGTCAATTAAGCGGCTCCCTTGGGTTTGTTTTGACACATCAAAGTGAAGAATTTAATTGAGGCATTGTGAATAAGTGGCCCTGCGTATAACAGGGCTTTAAACGCAATTAGATCTTTCCTCAGGTATACTGACTCCAAACGTTTCCCTTGGCGCGTCAGAAAAGTTCCAGGACTGGCGTCACAAAAGACTAAAAGTATATAAATATAAAACACTTGCCCTTGATGACCTGGCAGCTCAGCGGGATGCTCAGAGCATTGTGAGCAGGCTCGTTGTCATGGTGAAGCGGCCACAAATTATCCTGCCTCATCTAATGCGCTAAATGAAGCAAAGGCGGCAGGAACTCTTTGAAGACCCGCTGGCGCAGAGTGAAGGGGGAAATGTATCGTTTGGCTTTGAAATATAGCTGTTGTGAGAGAAGTCCTGCAATTTTTTTCTGACGCACCTCCGATCTAAATACGGTGTTTTATGTCAAAGTTCTGTTTATAAATGATCCCCCCCGCATGATATGATCTTGGGGTAAAGAACTTCTGATGGTGCAAGATGAACTTATGACTCATTTACTCACTGATCACCCTGGAGTCTAAACTTATATTTTTATGTCTTAAAAATGTCCTCAGGTTCAGGATAAAGGTCTGAAGGACTGATGATGTTTGAGATATTTTTAAAATTTAAATGTATTTTCCAAAAATAATCCGTGATGATGCTACCTCGTGGAGGCAAGATCCAGTTCATCTCAAACATCCGGGCTTTGCTCTGCTGTGGAAATGGTACTCGGAGGTTATTAACCATCAATCAGAATGAGAGTCGTCATGTTATCAGCTCTCTCCATTTCGACTTCTCTTGTCAGTCAAAGATGCCAATTACTGTAACCCCGCCAGGCTTGTCACCATGGTATCGATCCAGCCTTGGGTGTTGTCAGCCAAGATTGTTCCTTCAGTGTGTTCATTTTGACTAAATGGAAAGGATCCCGTAAATAAAGCTAGCTGATGAAAAAATAGTTTTCACTTGAAACAAACAAACAAACAAAAAAATAATTTCAGTCATCAACCAAATTTGCACTGCCACAGCATTTCAAAGTATGGGAACCATTTTGTGTCCTGCATTTGTCCACTTGAGTCACTGACGGAATAACAAGCTATTCCATGTCAAGTTAAGAAGGCAAACAATATCTTTGCATTTTCAATTACCGTATTTTCTGCACTATAAGGCGCTTCGGATTATAAGGTGCACCCTCAATGAATGAACTATTTCAAAACTGTTTTCATATGTAGGGCTGCATTATAAGGCGCATAGAATAAAAATTACAATAATGGCTGCGGTTGCGCTATGCCTCTACTAGATGGCGCTAAGATCGAGGGAATATAATACAGCTTTATTTTTTTGAGCAAAGCCATGCAGAACTGGTCGCAAACACGGACATGAAACATAAAACTACAAATGCCATTACAAAACAAATCAAGGACAAATGTTCTGAAGGCAATTGATTCAACAAAAAGGCATACAAACCTTGTGGGCTCACATCCACAAAGGGCTACATTTCCTTAGAAGTCTTGCTTGTTTCCTTCCTTCGTTTAGTCAGTCGTTAACTATCCTTTTGGTATTATCTTCTTGTCATAATGGTTGCGCAGGACTCACAAGGTCGGTGTCTGTTTGAGTGTCGGGCAGAACCCTTTTAGGGTACAATTGGTTCCTGCGAATAATCACCAGATGCCATAGGAACACTAACAGGGAAACAACTCAAAGGGGACTATAAAGAGCATGTAACTCCCTATATAAGGCGCATCGGACTATAAGGGCGCAATGTCGGCTTTTGGGAAAATTTAATGCTTTTAGGGGCGCCTTATAGTGTGGAAAATACGGTATGCTTGTTGTGTTGTTTGTTATCTGTTGTGATGTATTTCATCATTTGATCCTTGGGAGGACCAGCAATTTTAATTTTGGAAGGGACATTCGAATGCCCTTTTTATATACACGGAGGAGCCTACATGCCAATCGTACTGCTGTTTTTGTAAGATTTTGTTCATATCTGTTTGTACTCGAATTTGTCAAAAGCAGACGGGTATGTGTGTCATTGTTACACTCAAAAGCTTAACTGTTATTTCCCCCCGCTTTTCAGCAAAGGTGACACACCGATTGTAGCTTAAGAAAAAGAAAATCCATTTATGGCCTTCAAAAAAGGGTTTCACTTTCAATTGACTCTATTTTATTAAGACACGTTTGATTTGCTATTGCATGCCCTCAGTCTTCCAGGCTAATTTTGTTCGAGCGTTTGGGGTCAGTGCTCAATGACTGCTAGATGAACATTTGCCCTTTCGAATGAAATAAAAAGTCTGTTTAAACTTCTCTTCGACCTTCTCATGTTGAGTCGCTCTTTGAGGTATGAAACGACACGACTTTGAATATCCAACTTGAAATGGTCTCCCGTCTTTAAAGGGTCCCAAGCAGATCTGAGTAGGAGAAGGACGGTGGACCGCATGCAGTCTCATTCTTACATCATCATCCCCCGTGAAGTCACTGGCAGCTTCGCGGGGGGGAGCTTGTCCACCAGGAATATTCTCCAATTTAATGGTAAGTGAGCACTTTCAACCGCAGCCGACAGTTTGTGTTGATGCTCGGGCGCATCCGCTTTACCTTTCAACATATATCGAAGTGCCTTCGTGTGGGTGTATCTTAGCAATTAGCAATCAGTGTCTTTCACTGCCGGACTACTGGCTGCCTTGATCAAGCCAACCGGATCAATTCCACATTGTGGCTGTTGGCTGCACCACTGACCCACTGCATTTTCAGCCTAATTGAGCCTGCAGAAGCTTCTCGGGTGGTGAGCCACAAGCTTGCTATGTGTGTGTGTGTGCTTGCGTGTACGCGTGTGTGCATGCATGCGCGCGGGCATCGGAGTGCGTATGCGACGGTGTGTGTATGTCGAGCCCAAGCAAATGCACACGGCGAGGAAACCACTTTTTCCTCTCACTTAAACAAGCAATGGCTAGTCAAGGATGTAGCGTGTGATGATGCTAAGTGTGCAGCGGAAAGTCGAAAATGAACACTCACACAAACTTTAAAGGCACTTAGCGGGGCTGAGACTTCAGCGAAGGCCTAACAGTCGCAAGTATGGATTAGCATAAAATGATGCCCCGGCAATTGCTGCTTTTGACAAAATGTTTCTCTGAAGATGCATACATTATTTTGTTGAGAAATTAAAGAAGGATGTCTCGTCTGCAAGGTCCCCAAAAGTGGAAAGAAAAAAAAAGGGAACTAAATTTCAATAGATATTTTACATTCCAATAATTTAGATAATAGTATGTCAAAACACATAAGGAATTTGTCTCTGGTAGTATGAGCTTCTCTATACTATACTGCTTATTAAATACACAAAGAGCATTTAGGGCATGTTAAATTTAGATTCCAACCAAAGGCACTCACTGGCTCAAAGTCCAAATTATGCTTGAAAACACAAAGTCGTTCAATTTTGGACATGCTTTAAATCTTTGCTTCTTTGACGATGAGCTGCGGATAAAAAGTTCATGTTTCTGATCTGTAAAAAGCACGAGTAGGGTATTTATCTAACTCCATATTCTGTGAGTCTTTTTTTTTTCTGAACAGACACATGACGTTAGAACCATATGATTTAAAATACACATGCCAGGTATGAAATAGCTGGAGGCTTCACAAAGCGACACAAATGTTCGTGATATGTTATTTATGTTTCTATTTTTAGCTCTCATGCAGGGCCGCTTGCAGTGACATGTTGAAAATTCTACACTGAAAGTGTGCATTCTTTTCATAGGATAAGAATAAGAAAACCTTTATTCGTCTCACAATGGAGAAATTCCCAATTTTTAGCAGCAAAGTTATGAAAGGAAGAAAGTCGAAGAATAAAGGAGTATAGGAGCTGCTGTAAAGGCCGCCACTCTTGCGGTGCCATCTACAAATACAAATGAAACTGAGCAATGACGTCCATGACAGCGCAATTTGTCTAGGCTGAGTTCTCACGTTTGCTCAGTTCAGTGGCATGTTGACAAGTGACGGACTTTCAGTCTGGCTTTACTGTACATTGCAGCTCCAAGTGTACATGCTGGTGTGAGTGCCTTTACCTCAGTTCTATTATTCTAAAGTAACAATGATGAAGCTTGAATACATTTTGGGACTACTCTACCTACCTCTGATAATAATTATATCTCGTCACCTTTTCCCCGGGACACTTATTTAAAACGACGTATTTTATGGTCAATGATTGACAATACTGTACCGTATTTTCCGGATTATAAATCGATATGGAGTATAAATCGCAGAAGAAAAAACGTATATAAGTCGCACTGGAGTATAAGGCCTATTTTTGGAGGGAAATTTATTTGATGAAAATCCAACACCAAGAATAGACTTGTCATCTTGAAAGGCAATTTAAAATAAATAATAAAATAGACAACAACAGGCTGAGTGTATGATATGCTCACGTTACATGACACATAAACAACGAACTGAGATGTTCACGTAACATATTAAGGCTTCTTCAGTTAACTATAGCATAGAGAACATGCTCACAAGTTTACCAAATCATTAGTGTCGACTTATCAACACAAGCCTATAGTGCCCTCTTGTGGTTGGATATGAAAATAACATGTAAAATGATATAATAATCTCTGAATAATTTCACACATAAATCGCTCCAGAATATAAATCGCACCCCTGGCCAAACTATGAAAAAAAATGTGATTTATAATCCGGAAAATGCGGTACAGGTATATGTAACTATCTTATTCTAGATTGTGTTCCATATAGTGTCGTGGACACCTTATCTTTAGAGCGGTGTCAGTTTCTTATCGACTCAGACATGTTTGTACCGCATGGAATAAATCTTGCTCAAAGCTTTCTCTCCAACTCCTTGCTAACTTTTCTTTGCTGCTGTTTGTCTGGATTGTGGCCAATTAGTCTCAGACAGTTTTACTCCCTCCGGGATTTGAACCTAGCTCACTGACTGTAGCGGCACACACAGCTAACTTTAATGCAGCCAGTGTGGAACTGATTCCTGCTCTTCGGGCTATATTGTCTCATGGACGTAAGAAGGAGAAAAGGTGCACAACTCTGGGTGGAGCAAACCCAAAATCTGTGAGCATTCCCTGTTGAAACTGCCCTTTAGCACTTTTTCATGTACACCGTTTCAGAGCGTGTTGGAAGTCACATGCTCAGAGAACGTGTGACATCAAATTGAACTTGGATGCACGCATACAATAATACAACAATAAAAGAGACTTCCAAAAATGTGTTTCAATATATTTAAATGGTCACAATCTTTTTTTTTCTCTCTCTTCTTTACCAATCACCCCTTGGCCAGTATTCATGAGTCCAATAAAGCAGGGTGCCCAACCAGCTTGCGTGGCAGCACGGAGAAATTGAACCGAAATATTTTTGGGATTTCATCAGATCGGCAGTGTAAGTCTGCAAATACAACGTTTTAGAATGCTGGATTTGTCCAGATTTGAATCCAATTGAGATGCTGTGGTGTGACCTTAAACGGGCAGTTCATGCTCGAAAACACTCCAACATGGCGGAGTTGAAGCTATTCGGAAAAGTGGGCCAAAAGTCCTCCACAAGGGATGTGAAAGACTCATCACTAATTATCGCAAACGCTTGATTTCAGTTATTGCTGCCAAGGTTGGCACAACCCATTATTAGGTTCAGGGGGCAATTTTGTGCCTTGATAAATTAAATTAGCGTTTCGAAACTGCATTTGGTATTTCCTTGGGTTGTCTCTGCATGGTATTAGAATTGGTTAGATGGACTGAAACCTTTTTGTGCAAAGAACACAGAAATCACAAAGGGGGCAAATACTATTTCATGCATTTTCCAAAAAAAAAGGTGCGCTTGATCTTATTCACGGGTTTAAATGAGATTCATGTCCACGTCTCTGGATTTTTTTCACAGCCTCTGTTCTCCATGAATCACACCTTGTTTCTGCCGCTCCTTTTTTGTGTTCATTGCCAGCTTTTACCAGGTGAGTGTGTATGTGCCCTGTAATGAACTGCCAACCAATCCAAGGTGTGTCCGCTTTTCCCCCCCCCACAAGTCAGCGAGGATAGAATCCAGCTTCCCCACAATCCTGAACAGTATAAGCGGTTGAAATTTGCTGGATTTGAATCTTTTCTTAAATATGAGGAGCTGCCATACTTTGGCTAAACCCCCAGTTCACTTTTTTTTTTTTTTCTTCTAGCTTCACACTTTTTCTACGTACTGAAGCTAAAAAGATGCAATGCGAAGTGGCAATGATTTGAGTCGTCCCCCGTTTCAACTTTGGCCATGTTGGAGTGTTGTGGAAAGTGCAGGATTAGGGGAAATGCTCTTGTCAGAGTTTTTTATTTATTTCTATCAGCAACATGGATGATTTGCATGAATCCTGCCAATAATTAGGCAGTTCCTCTTAAAGTGGAAGCATGGTTTGGTTGGGGTTTGGCGCTTTTTCGGAAAGGAGCTGAGGAGGGTGTGGATATAGTGCCACCAGGAGGGGCTCCGGCCCAGTTGTAGTCATGCCAGTTGTTTGACTCGACTCATGCCTGTGCACAAGCTGTTGGGTTTTTTTGCGCTCCAAAAATACTTTCCGATTTGTTTGCGCCTCTCTCCCCTGGACATTTGGCGAGCTTTTTCAAACATATGGTGGGAACAACAAAGTGATTAGAATGTATTCTCTTCAGTCAATATACTTCATGCTTGCATATGGTTTCTCCTTCGTAGCGAAGAACACCGCACAGGCGCAGAGACTGCAGGTACAAGAGAAACACGGGCTGGCGTACAGCGCTAGGCTCAACAATGCCACCATCTTGTCAGGGGGAAAAAACAAGCCCGACAGTGGCCATCGCAAGCTGGAGTGTATGGCCGCCGTGCACCAAAAGGAAGCTTGTCAAACGACTCGTGTCACGGTGAGGTCACGCCGCATTTCAAGAGTGTGCCTAAAGTCAGTTGGAGCTTACTGCTCCATCATGGAAGACTTGTGTTTTGTGTCACTTAAATAGTCAGGTGGTAAAGAAAGAGCTTTGCTTCGGTCTAACAAATACTCACAAAGGAGGTTTCATGTAGATGTGGGGCATGTGCCGGGGAGCCTGCCATTTTTTTTTTTTTTTTTTTTTACCATTGTCACGGTGGCACGCCCTTCAAGCTCCTGTGCTTCAGCGATTGTACAAGTCGCTTTTAATTGTTCCTCCGTCTGTAGGTACAGCTTGTTCTTTCACCCGCGGGTGCACATGCTAAATGTCATTTTGCCAGTATTGTGTCTCACTCTCTCAGGTTTTGTACATTGCGCTTCCTGTGTTACGGCCGGCGGTTTTTATTTCACACGGCCCTCGGTGCTAATTACTTGCAAAATAATAACTTTTGCTGAGCTAGTTAGCTTCAGCTTCACTAAAAAGCATAATATTTTAGATCATTACGCCAAATACGCCAATTGGTTTTATTCAAGAAGACAATTGTTATTTTTTTTCGTATTTACTGATTTAATATAGTCACTCCAAGTGATGAATCTAAATTCATTTCTTGTTTAGGTTTCCAAAAAGAAAATGTTCGAAATTCACTCCCGATTTAGAGTGCCAATACATTACAATTCATCGCTTGTAACATTATTTACATATAGTACAGCACAGTACTGCCTGTCGGGTAAAGTTCTGGCTATGAGGAATCTACAGTTGATCCAAACAGAAATGAAAAATTAACAATAGCCTTTTTTTTTTTTTCAAAACAATGAACTTAGTCTTATCATTTGATGTTGAACTGACAGGTAATACTTATCTATAGAAGAATAATTTTAATGTCATTTTTATTTTTGTTCTGCTTTTATAATTCCTGTTTTGGTTTTAGGATGGGGCTAACGAAGTTCCTTTGACCAAAGAACTTTCGCGGGCCCCCTTCTTTCAAGATCTGAACAAGGCTGAGGGCATCAGCAACATGCTTTGCCACGCCATCACCACCCCTCATCAACTCTTTGCCAGCCTCGGCTCTGCTGAGTACATGGAATTTGCGCTAAAAAACCCTTTCAACACTCCTCAGACAGTCACCATCCACAGCAATGATCCTGAGCTCAGGTGAGGTTCCATCATTTACATTTGTGGGTTTTTTTCGCTGACGGAGAAAATGCGGCCAACTTTGTGTCCCAAATGCAGCACACCGACTGTGAGCATGTGTTCCCCGTGTAGTATGTGGTTGGAGTGTGAACTCCCGGTACACTGACAGTGTAAAAAGCTTTGCCCTGAAATGAAAACATGTTCACACTTTGTGGATGTGTTCCCCATTGGTGGCGAAGGAAAGGAAATATTGTACTTTAGATTCCAAGTTGCACACACTCTTTCAATTGTGAAAAAGTGAAACAAAAAAAAACTTTTTTTTTTTGTGATTCAAGAGTAGCCTTTGTCAACAGACTAAATGTCCTGTAGAACTGAAAAAACAAAATATCACTTCTGCACAGGTCTGTAAAATAGCATCATGATACAAATTACGATAAAATACAAAATGTAGTTTGCAGATGAGGGTAGAAAGAGTATACCACTCGAGTGTCCCAAAAAAAAAAAAAAAAAAAAAGGATGGCCGCTGCCCTTTAACGTTCCTCATTATTACCACGACAGAGACACAAAATTCACCTCAATAATTTTTTGGGTCATCATCTGCTGCCGTAAATTAAGCTTCCATTTAAAATTCCACCAATTTGTCAGTGAAAAATACAGTGTGTTGCCCGTCGACTGTACAGTGTGAAAATTATGGTTGGCTCTTCGCCCATGACTATGTCCTGGCTGATAGCGGAGTCAAAAATACGTCAGAATGTCGGATTAAAAACATGTTTAAAATTAAAATCCTGTTTGATTAAAATGATAATGGAGTGCACTATATATCAATGTATCTGCATCAAACAGTGACCACCCAAAGAGCTTTGCAAAGCCTCACCAAAAAAAAAAATAATAATAATCATTAAAAGTACTGCAGGGGCATGCTTGTGGCCGCCCGCTTCTGTTTTAACGACTAAAACCCCGAACAGGAAGTCCAATTAAAAAACAAAAAACAAAAAAAAAAACCCCAAAAAAACAACAAAGAAAACCTATTTGTACGCCAATACATTAAAAGGCAGACTTCCACTTTGTGTTATTTTCAAATATGACTGAATGGGCTTCACACTTGCATTTGATGACAAGTTTGCTTGTGCAGATTACATCATGCAGTTTGCTAAATGTCGTTCTGGAAACAAAGAGCCGTTTAACGAGAATCACATCCAGTTCACCATGGGGGCAGCGCAAGAATAATGCTGATGAAATGCTGAGTACTGTTTAATATAGTCCCCCGTATTGCAGCCATTATGTAGCCCCTGATTCCTGGATCACCCGAGCTTTGTATCTTGCTTTGTTTATTTTCCTTTGCGTTATTGTTAATCTGTACACACTAAATCGCCCATTCGGGATTCAGCTCATGCCCGAGTTTTGGATTAACATACATCACATTGATCAACAAATGCTGGAGAGCGCCACGGATGATTCATGATGGCATTAGCCCAAGCATCAGGTTTACCGAGTCTAAGTGCGACTCATCCATCTTTGCATCTGACTTCTTATAAGCTATTGCTCCTTGACGTTTCTTTATTATTATTTTCTGAGATTTGTTCTTCCAACAGTTAGAAATTTTTTCACGTTGGGGTCCGTTAATTCCTGGTCCGTTAACACCAGATTCCACTTTATCACAGGGAAAAAAAAAGTTGTTCCCTGGGCACAGTATTTGCTATGGCGTCTATTTTATGGATGTCGGTTCCTCAGTGAAACAAAAGAGCATGTTTGTAATGTCACTTGTGCGTGATCTACTCTCCATCCAGTGTCATCACCAACACAAAAGAGTGGCAGTACTTTAAAGAACTGACCAAAACACCCACTTCGTTGGAGGAGGACATGTTTCACGTGGAGGAAGGAGCTCCAGGGCCAAAGGTTTACCTCCGACCGAAGGAGACCGTTCATATCCCGCTCAAATACCAGAGCTTCCTGTGTGACCACAACATGACTCCTCAGGTAAAGTTGAGAGATTTCATCCATTTTCTGAACCGCTTTGTCGTCACGAGGGTCGCGGGGGGTTGCTGGAGCCTATCCCAGCTGTCTTCGAGCAGTAGGCAGGGGACACCCTGAACCGGTTGCCAGCCAATCGCAGGGCACACAGAAATGAACAACCATCCTCGCTCACACTCACACCTAGGGACAATTTAGAGTGTTCAATCAGCCTGCCATGCATGTTTTTCGAATGTGGGAGGAAACCGGAGTACCCGGAGAAAACCCACACAGTCCCAGGGAGAACATGCAAACTCCACACAGGAAGGCCGGAGCAGAAATCAAACCTGGTACCTCTGCACTGTGATGTAGACGCGCTCACCACTCAACTAGCGGGCCACCAGCGTTTTCACTATTTATTTAGTTATTATTTGCATCTCATTTTATAACACCGGATTTTTTATTCATGTCACCAATTCCGTTTCGGCAAACGACAGCCCGTTGGACAACAACTTTTTCAGCGCATGACTACGGAGCACGTGCGGATTTGTGTGTGGTTTGGGGCTCTTCGGGAAAAGTGGCACGAGTCATCCTTTTGAGAACAATGTTTCATTTTCGTGGATGGTACAGGCAGCAAGCCAGGCTTTAGGACGAAGTTATGAAAAGGGGAGCGGCAGCCGCGTGGGGTTTTAGTCAACCAGACGTCTTGACTTTCAGGTTCGAAAAATAGCCACCAAAATAACTCGTATTTCAGAGGAAATGTAATCGCCGTTGTGCCAAAGGTAATATTTCATCCAATATATCGTTGACTGTGGAAAGCTTAAAATAGCATGATGATGGCCCCTTTCAATGAATACCCCTGTGAGAGGTGACTCAAAACCGATCAATATTTTCAAGGCCGTTTTTCATGTCCAGCTTTTGTATTGAGTCGTGCAAGCGTAATCGTTTGATTTTGCCCTTTGGGCTTTTTGATGTGAGAATCTAGCGGAAGATGGGCAGTGTAACTGAAATGTGCTCATATGTCACTACACCTAAATAAATTTTAACCACTGCTGATGTCGCAGCCGGCACTAGCTTGTAAACATGCACTGACACTCAATACTTGATGCCAAAAGGACAAACTGTCCTATTACATCCTCATGCTTTCATCTGTTGGTTGTGATCGTTTGCGTTTATTTTATTTATTCATTTATTTATGGCTCGAGGTGCAAAAATATGAGATATCCGACGGAGTCGTTCTCATCCGGGCTTGACAGATGATCAATTTTGATAAGCATTCTGTGTCTTATCATATCCTCACAGGGGCCGAGCTTTCTACCTCCAAGCAAAAGTTCGAATGCGGCTAAGAAGATTCCGTCCAATATCGTTGCTGCCAAAACCGTCAAGGTAAAGAGTTTGCGCTATTGTGCTGGAGATCTCCTCGCTGTAGAGGATCATGTTTACCTCCTATCTGATTTTATTCTCAGCTGCAAGAATTTTAAGACGGAACTTCTTGCCGTGTGTATAGCCTCCGCCTTCCTCTCCTTCTCCGCCGCTCCTGCCGCTTTGAAGTGCCAACTATTTCCAAAGTTACACTAGCCAGACAAGTGAGGGTGTCGAGCAAAATTATACGCTGGGAATCACATTTATCTTGTTTATCTTACTGAACTTTTTACTTTTTTTTTTAAATTTTTTATCTCCAACTGGAAATGTCAGGCTTAAGCGTTAAAGTGCCTCTAAAAGGAGGACAGTTTGACACGTGTGGCTAATCGAGTTAAATGAAGCATGCATGCTAAGTATGGCTGAAGTTACTTTTCCATTTCACACGCCGTTAATAATACGTAAGAAGGGAGGAACAATGTCAATTTAGTACATTTCTATTGGATGAACTTGAGATAAGACCATGCGCTTTTTTTTTTTTTTTAATCTTCCTGTGATGTAATTTACTCCACAGCTGCATCGTATTACTGCTGTCAGCAAAAATTATTTCTGCTACAGGAGATTGCACTTGGAAGTTGTATTTTATGCTGCTCTCATGAGGCACGGGAACAAATTTCATTCGATGTCAAACGCTTACAGACTCCAACGTGCTAATCAGCAAATATGTCCTCAAAGAAGAAAGTAGAATAGAATAGAATCGATGAGGACAAGTTGCTTGTTTTGCAAATCTGAATTCAATTGACTTAGTTTTTTTTTATTTTTATTTTTTTTTTAATTTTATTTTATGCACATGGTATATGTATTATTTGCGTTGTTTGTTTCATTCAAAATTGATATTTTGGAATAACGAGGAATAGCTTATAGAGGAATAACAATAATGCGGGTTACAGTGCAGTGATTTATTCTTTTTTTTTTTCTTTCTTTTTTTGGGGGGGGTGTGGGGGGGGGCGCTACAATATTATTGCAGACACCAGGCAGTGAAGGCGTTTTCACACTGCACTTGGTTTTCTTACTGGGACAGCGCTCAAGGACAACCTCCTCCCGGTGCAAGCGAGCCTATATTTGGATGTGATTGGGTGGCAGCGAACCAGGAAGTAACAGGCAGACGTTTCCCTTTGATTGTTCTATTGCTGTTAGCACTCTGAAATCACTCCACCGGCCTCTCACCTGTTGGATGCAACTTCTGACATCAACTTCCACGCACCGGCGTTCCAACCTTGAGCCATCGTAGCACATTGGCAATATATCAGGCTTCCTCCCTCATTCCCAAAACATACACGTCAGGGTCATTGATTGTTTATATACGGGAGTGTGTGTGGTTGTTTGTCGATAATGTTCCGTGGGATTGAATGGTGACGAGTTCAATATGTACACCGCTTCTCGTGGCTTCTCAACTGGCAAAGACTCCAGTTTACCAATGACACTGAACCAGAAAAGGAGTATAAAAAAATGGACATGCAGTCATCGTAAGTTATTTGTGTTGAGTACACAACACGGTCTCATTTGCCCCGTTTCATGAAATAATGACCCAGCTTCCAATGGTCGCGTTGCCATTTGTCTTGTGGTGTCAGAACTGCTCCACCATGCGAAGAAAAACAAACTAGACTCCTGTCGAGGTGAACAAGGTCAGACAGGATGCCAAGCTTTGGTCCCACTATTAGTCAGAACATCGCCATGGCCACATATGGCCAGCACAGGCCTGCGAAGCTGATCCATCAGTCATTTGCACAGCTGCGGTTTGGCACTAAATCAATTCCTGTCAGTTTTGAGATTCGATAACCAAAAATGTGCAATGTCACATTTTGGTTTAAAGCTGTCATCCGGCAGAAATAAAGGGCCTCCCCAATACTAGCACATATTTTATATCAGCGGTCCCCAAACTTTTTCCTGTGAGGGCCGCATAAGCTTTCGCTTCTGTGATGGGGGGGCCGGGGTCAGTCTGGAATAGAAAAAGGGTGACCGCAAGAGTACGGAAATGTAAAAATGGATTGTTTTCCAGAAACCCACACAAAATGAAGCCGCCTCTTGACAGATGAGACTGACAGACGTTTCTTTGCGCTGAAAGAAACAAAAACAAAAACATCGTTTGTCCACTTTGGTTTAAATACCCCGCATTCTATTTTTCTCTTACCGAACCTTTTCGCCATGATCCCGTTCTCTGAGAGAGGGGCCGGTTTCGGATTTTTTTTTCTGGCGTTGCCAGATAACGGCACAGAAAGATGCACCAAATGTCACATTATTGTATCTGTGTTTATGAAATAGATACTAATTAATAGTTAATAATGAAAACGGTTCAGAACTAAGGAACATTTTATTGCAAAAGCCCAACTTTATGATCAAAGACAAATCCACATCGATGAAAAATAAATCAAAGGTTTAAAGCTGCGGGCCGGATCCGGCCCGCGGGCCGTAGTTTGGGGACCCCTGTTTTATATACTCGATATATCGCTATGGTTTGTGCTGCAGGACGTGGGTGACTGAAGAGAATATTCATCACACACGCAGCAACTTAGGCTGGGTTGACGCAATATGGCTCAAGTGTAATTATTGAGATTGTATTCTTCTCAAGTGACACAATTCAAATCTGCTTCATAGAAGCATTACAATAATTCTTCTTCCAAATGTGGATACAAATCAGACATGAATCAGATACCGACATCAGCCCAAACAACAGTAAACATATTAAAAAGTATATTGGTACCTCTACTTATGAAATTAATTGGTTCTGGAAGAAATTTTGTAACTAGAAAATTTTTCTAAGTAGAGACGCGTTTTCCATGTAAATGCCCTAATCCGTTCCACGACCCCCCAAAATTCAGGCATGTTTTCGAAAGCATGTAAATGCATCAAAATATGTGACAAACACATGTTTCAATTAGATTAATTAATACAATAAATGAGAGTAAAAAACAAAGAAGAGAGTAAAGAATGAAAATGGTGAACACTTTTTCTGGGCAATTCACACTTACGTAAAACTATCGGAATGCCTCATAACCGAATGACAAGGACGCTGCATCGACACATATCTATCTATTTATCTATCCACACACATAGACACATACGGTAGAGGTCCCGCTTAGCCAATGGGATGCCAGGAAGATGCTAGGTAATAGCCAATGGCAGAGCAGCTACATGTATGTTGCGTTAAGGAAACTCGGAGCTGCGAGTAGTAGCCCATACTGTATTTTTACCTTTCGTATCTTGAAATTTCTTTCGTAACAAGAGGCAATATTTTCCTGTTGAGGCGTTTGGTAACTTGAAAATTTCGTATGAAGAGACGTTCGTAAGTAGAGGTACCACTGTAAATCTATAACACTGACAAGAACCATAACAATGAGACTATAGAATAATTATTCATTCTGGAATATGATAGATTAGATATATTTCATTCATTAAATAAATAATTGTAAACAGCGACCAGCGAGTAATGCCGACGGTTCAGTCCAGGCAAACAAAATTGATCGAGTGTTTAACGTTTGTTATTTTTAATGTTTCTTTTTATTATTGTTTACTCCCATGTTGTCACTACCTGGTGTTGGCACTTTTAGATTTGTTAACTTGCAGATCGGATATCTGCGAATGGAAGTTGTTACATGTTTCAAATCTTAATTTGAGTGTTAGCATAGCCACAGCAGAGAGGTTTAAGCCACCACTGCCCTCTGTTAACAGCATTATACCAAAAGGTATTTTCTGTCTTGTTTAAAATAGTAAAATGTCCAGTGTTGACCAAAATAGAGAGTGACACTGAAACCTTTTAAGATGCTGAATGCCGGTATCGCAAGCAAAAAATGTTGGTTGTAAAATAACACACGTATGTACTGAAATCAACCAAATCATTCGAGCGAACTTACTTCACCATCTATCTCCAGGTTTCTTTCAAAGCAGAAAACGGTGACCCCATCGCCATCTGCCAGGTGATCGTGGAGCCATCGCCTCACATTGTCGATCAGACGTTCCGACTTTACCACCCACAACTCAGTTTCCTCAAGAAGGCCATCCGCTTGCCGCCCTGGCACACCCTCTCTGGTAGCACAGATGACTACTGCACGCTACCAAATGTATTTCTGTTTACGGTAGCAATTTTCAAGTCACTGCATCTTATAAAGCCCTTTATGAACGTTCTTGTAAAATTACAATTTTTTTTTTTTTCGATGCTTTGAGAAATAGCAATGGATGCCATGCCGCTCCGAACCCACGACTGGTTTATATATTTTGTACTCCTGTGTTTATGTCCTAAATGTATATTTTTGTGAAGCTTCTTTGTGAGAGGATTAAAGTGACTCCAACTACTGGAGTCATATTCCCGTATTTTCCGCACTATAAGGCGCACCAAAAAGCATTCAATTTTCTCAAAAGCCGACAGCGCGCTTTATTATCCGTTGCACCTTATATATGGATCGATATTCTGATCTCTTGGACGTAGTATTTTAAATTCTCTGTAAAGTTGTGAAAACTCGAAATAAATAAAGCTGTTTTGTATTGTATTGCCTTTAGCGTAGCTCCCTCTAGTGGATGCGTCAGGCAACCGCAGCCACTATTTTAGCTTCTATTTCATGTGCCTTATAATGCGGTGCGCTCTATATATGAAAACAGTTTTAAAATAGGCCATTCAGTAAAGGTGCGCCTTATACTCTGAAGCACCTTATAGTGCGGAAAATACGGTACTTGATCAAAGGTGATTCTCATTCTGCTTATCCATTTGTGCACTAATATGCCGTTTTAAAATCTGATCTTTCTTTTTAACGTGCGAAGCCGTCGGAGGCACGGATGCCGAGACTCACATTTCTGTACGCTGCAGTGACCCAAACGTCATCTGTCAGACCCGAATGATGGTGAGAGAATGACTCACTTTTCCACAGTATATAAGCGTTTCCGCCCACACTAATGTAAGCAGGGGGATTAATTACTAAAGTGATAGCTTCAGCACCATCCATTGTTCAAAGGCAGAGTGCTATTCTAGCATTCTTTGTCATGAGCTGAGTACCTTTTCTGAAGCACAAAGAAGGCTCAAGTCTTTACCCAATTGAATGCTTTCAACATGCTTGTCTGTTATTTATGGTAATTTCTGCCCGCTTATTTCCCCCCTTACTTTTACCCATTTATTGGTTTTACTCGTCACTAGGTGCCAGGAGAGCCTCAGGATGTGTACTTGAAAGTACCCGGAGGTCCGAGTCCCAACATCAAAATGTTCTTTGTGATGGTTTTCACGTAAGTATTCTTACAGTGGCCCCATTAGACACAGCTGCACAATACGGGAAAAAAAATGCTGATTCAAATTCAGTTTTTTTCCGTCCTTCAGGGTTATTGCTCGTACATGAAAGAGGGAAAATGAATTTAAAAATATCTAATTGTCATGGTGTGAAGTAAATGGATAGAAATAGCATTCATATTGACGAGTGTCTTGACTATTTTATGAATGTCCTGCAAAAACAGCTTTTATGATGACAGCAATGCTCGATTTTTTTTTTTTTTTCTCTGTCAGAGGGGTCAAATTTTGACATATTTGCAGTTATGGTCTGGTGTAGAATGTTAATTAAGTGGTGTTGTTTGGGAGAGAATTTGGAGTGGTTTATTCATACATCATTGAAGGTTTTTGAGGTCACAAATGTATTTGAACCATGTTCAAATTTGGTGTTTGAAAGAAGAATTATGCATTTTATTTTAAGATGCCCTTTGGCGCACACAAGTACAGCATAAAATTGAATAGATTAGTAAAATCTATTCAAAAGAAAAATTGAGAACAAAGAACAAAAAACAGATTTTCGGGCATATGACGGTCAGAATTGGATTCAAAATGTGTTTTAAATAGTACCTTGGATTTCATCCTTTGTAATGACTAATTTCTTTCATTAATTGCGGTAAAGATTCGACAGCATCCCAAATTTTTTATTTCAGATGACCTTGTTGTTGGATCCCGATTATTTTGGCGAACAAACCTGGAGGGCACATATGAATTAGTGGTGGTTGTCAGTAACCACTGATTTTCTAGTTTTGTTTATTCATAATATGTGGAGGTGATAAAATACGGTGTCTCATAAGTTATATCACATCCAGTATTGGGACTCACTTAAAATGATTACCGTTACGTACTACTTCTCTCTGCTGTTTAATTAACGTGTACAATGGGCTTTTACTGCCGTTGTCTGAGGGAACACAATAATCATCCCACGCCGTGTCTTTCATATGGAAGTTGCCTGGTGGAAATATTTGGACAAAAGGGACATTCTTGCTCAGCGTCAAAATTCCCCAAATGACTTAAAGCATCTTCCAAAAGGACTCTGAATGCTCTTTAAGTGCTGTAGTCACGGAGCAGTGCTGAGTATGTGACTACATCGCCTCCCACTCACAGCCCTCAGTCTCGGCTCAAGCCGCTGAGACTTGAATTCCCTTCGCCTCAGCAGTGGGAGGAAGATGATGACGATGAGAATGAGGATGCTGATGATGATGATGAAGGACGGTGGTGACAAGCGTTGGCTGATCATTAAAATGCAAGTGCGCCAGGAGATCAGCCTCCCTCATCTTTGACCTATTGATGCCTTCGAGGAGTGGGGGTGGCGGGGATGCTTTCATTTACTGTATTTGTTCCTGATGATGTTTTCCGTCCACAGTGATAAGTGGATGGCCGCCCCTTCGCAGATCTGGCAGGTTTACGTGCACTTTGTGGAGCGGGTGGATGTCAGCTGTGTCACCGGCCAGCGGAGTTGTCAATCACTGGTGCTGAGGGGGAGGCAGGCTGCTCGCAAGGTCAAATGTTTCTCATCACATCCGCAGGAGATTGAGGTATACTGCCAGTTTGTAAATGTAGTGCCAAGAAAGTTACAGGATCGCTCTCATTTGATTCTGGTTCCAGTTTATTACTAGTTCGTTACATTCGGTTCTCTGCCTGTAATCCTTATTGAGAGCATCCGCACAGTCATTTCCATCTAGCTAGCACTCACATAGCAAAATGGTTTTCGGTTTGGAGTTGTATGGCCACTTCTGTTTAGAATCCGCAGAAGGTGGCCCTAATTCATGAACCAACATAAATACCAACTGCATTATTCAAAAAAATAAATAAATAAGGAATCACACACTACAATTCTGTTTCATTTTTATAGCCTTTAGAACATTAGTGTCAAAGTCAAGGCCCGGGGCCCACATCTAGCCTGCCACATCATTTTATGTGGCCTGTGAAAGCAAATCGTGTGTATGGACTGAATGATTCTCCCTGAAATATCAAATTGTCATCATCAAAATGTTGATATAACACGAGCGTTTTTGTTACCGATCCCGCTTTTCAAGAAAATATTTTTACTTGGCTCCGATTTCAACACTAGTCATTCATCAGTTTGTTTTGTATAAAAGCATTTACCGTATTTTCCGCACGATAAGACGCTTCGGAGTATAAAGCGCACCTTCAGTGAATGAAACTTGTCAGTGAATTTAAAACTGTTTTCATATATAGGGCGCACCACATTATAAGTCGCATAGAATAGAAGCCACAATAGTGGCTGTGGTTCCATTTTGCATCCACTAGATGGAGGTACACGAAAGGGAATGCAATACAATACAGCTTTATTTTTATTAAGCTTTCACAATTGCTGCAGCTGTAACCAAGCGCTTAACAGAACATTTAAAATAGTACGTCCAAGAAATGAGAATATTGATCCATATATAAGGCGCATCGGATTATAAGGGGCACTCTCGGCTTTAGAGTGCGGAAAATATGATATTCCTTTTTAAAACAAAATTTCTAAAATGATTATTAAATCATTATTCAACTAGAGTGACTGCTTCTCCAGTGGCTCGTCTCTATATGTGTCTCTACATTTCTCCACTTCAAAGTCTGCATCTTGCCAGGAAAGGTCCAAATACCTGCATGTGTGCTTGCGCCACTCGGTTGGCAATCCTGCCTCGAGCTCATCTCATCAGCTCTTTGAGTGTTTCACGAATCAAAATGGCTTCACCGCCATCTTGTTCTTCAAATGTGACCTAAGTCTGCTCCCCTTAGTTTTTCCGAGTGACCCTAGGGTATCATTAGGTAGCGGTCGCGTTGCCTCGGAGTGTCTGTGTTAGCGTGCCAAAAACTCGTGTGTCTTTGAGTAGACTGCGTACCTGCTCTCATTAAGTGGATGGTCTCTCTAGAAAATATTTCAGGGGCAGCTGGAGCGTGTGAACCATGAGGTGCAGCGAAAAACTGGCATGCATTGCTGCACTTTTGGACGGCAGCTGCTCATTAATAGATGGAGCATCATCACGCTGCCTGTGTTGCTGTTGTCTCTTTCTCGGATTTCCTCTCTCGTCAAACACGTTTTAGTCTAATTATGTAGATATGTAGCAGACTGTGGCATTTCCTGATGCTAGAAGAAGTTGACTAGTTTAGTCTTATGTCTTTCCTTTGCACAAAGCACGTCTTGATTTACTCTGCAAAGCCTTAACTTAGTGTGATATCATACAATGTTTCTTGACCGTAATGACCTTCTCGTAAAAGACAATGTTTCCCAACACGGTGGTGAAGATGTCTGCCTGATAATTGAGAGGTCCTCAGTGGAATTTTGGCTCAGGCTCTCTCGTGATAGTCTTGCATCTTCTTGCGTTGCTTGCGTGTGGGTCTTCTCTGGGTGCTCCCACTTCCTCTCATATTCAAAAATCGTGCATGTTATGTTCATTGAAGACTGACTCATTTTAAAAGTGCGGAATCCAAAACTGATCTCAGTTTGTCTGTATCACATCAGGTTCTTGAGCTATGGCATCCTTGTTTTTTTTTAATCTGAAATAAATGTGTATGTCTGAAATAAAACACGAAGATGGAATCGCTACAAGCTTTGAAAACTGAAAAATAGCATAAAACAAGGTCGAACTTTCAACGGTATGCCCATGGTTGCACTGAATAAATGAATAAATAAATAAAGTGGTCCACTATACTGGTGATCAAGTTTTTACTGTGCGGTGAGGGCACTTGGATCTGGGATTGCTTTGGTGTGCACCTCCATCCTAATGAAATCAAAAGCCAATCTTTTTGTACCGTTGCATGCACACCATCGGGTTTAGATCAGTCAATGTTTCTCACTCCAAGCCCAAATAAATTTGTCTTGCTTGTTAGAAATTAAGTCATGTGATTGAATTCTCACGCATGCATACAGTACCGATACGGGCCGTGTTTTCCTTGAAGAAAGAGGATACAGCCTGGGGAAGAAAAAAAAAAAAGACGACAGATGTATTTTTAAAAGATTCCAGCATATGCATCACAGTGGCTGCTTTGATGTGACTCTCAGCAGGTTGAGTCGCTGTGGAACGCATTGGAGGAGTCTTATGAAACGGGATAACGCTAGCCAATCGAGAATAGTTTTGCTTTTCTCAACAGATTAAAAAAAAACAAAAAAACAAAAACCAAACAAACTGCGATGCAAGTCATTTTCATTTTCAATGTCCTGCTGTCTCCCTGCACCCGAATATTTTGTGATTGGTATTTCCTCCGAGGATAATGTGCTTTGATTTTTCCTGGTCATACCTATATTAGTGACATCATCTGATTTTTTTTAAATCTTCTTCACAGGTCAACCCTGGAGGTGTTTTCCTGTTGCCCCCCGCAGGAGTGCAAGAGCTCCAACTGAAGGTGCAGCCATGGCGGGCAGGCAGTCGCTTCCTGTACGTGAACGCGGTGGACGTGGACCAGAGGCAGTTAGTCACCGCTTGGCTACTGTGTCTCAACGTAAACAGGCCTGTGCTGTCCAAGGTGAATTGATTAAAGTCGCCTTCTGCCAGACATTCCGCCAAGACGCGCCGCATGTTGCTTTCATCAAAGAAGCACTCACCTTGTCATCCAGTAAACATAGTGACCTTGTCAGCTGATTGGGGCCTGTTCTGACCGTCTGACACATTGTACATCTTCCAGTTTAGATTCCGAACCTCTGTTGTGAGCTCTCAAGTTTACGCAAGGTTTTGCATCGAGTCCAAATACATTTGAAATGATGTGTAGCATTGACGTTCAAATATTCATAACTATCCCAGAAACGCAAAGCAAAACAAACATAGGTAATGACAGCGCATGAATAAATGAAATAATGCGGAAGATGTTGTAAAAGGGGTTTGTTTACAATACGGTTTTCTGGGTCGCTGCACAAGGAAGTGGTTTAATGTGACTCTTCTGTTCAATTGACATGTGAAATTGCCCCTGTGTGTGTGCGTGCGTGTGTGTGTGTGTGTGTGTGTGTGTGTGTGTGTGTGTGTGTGTGTGTGTGTGTGTGTGTGTGTGTGTATACGCAGGCATTTGAAGTATGTGTCCCAGTTAGCAGTGGTCGTGGCAGCTCCAAAAAAATCACCTACACCAACCCTTACACCAGCGGCCGCACTTTCCTGCTCCATTCCGACCATCCGGATTTGCTCCAATTCAAGGAGGATAAATTCCAGGTGAGGTGAGACAGGGAAATTTAGTCTGAATGGGCAAACGTGCCATATAAAAAGCAATTTTATTCCCGATGATATCTTTCTGGTTTTATATTATAGGCAGGATATAAGTTGAATGCAATCTTTTGCACTTTACCTTAAATGTAATCATTACATTTCACGGTCAGATTGCCAGCATCATAAAAATAGTATCAGCTGTATAGGGATTAAAAAAATATATAAGAATGAAAATAACATAACCGCATAAATATGACAGTTATTAAACAAACAACTGAAAAATGCACAATGCCAAGCGGAGTTGCGTCACCAAAAACAATTTGAACAATAAGTTAATGACTGGAAAAGAAAAAGGTCTAAAAGTTAAAAGCTAAAGCCAGCCAATCACAATCATCTGACGGAGGCTCGTACAGCTCACATCGCATTAAATCAGCCAAAGTACACAAGCTGACTGGCCAACTGTGATTACTTGCAAGGACTATGCTTATGATCATATTGTTAGCGGAATGACTGACATGAGTATCGAGACATGAAACTTAGTCCATAATGTCCAGCCCTCCTCTCCTGTCACATCATGCCAGAAGTCAAGCGTTGAGGTCCAACTTTGAGGTGATTTCTTGAATTTCGTTCCCGCAATTGTAATGCAGAGCGACCTTTCAAGCCACTTCAATATTTTAATGAGCATCTTATAAATAGGGCGGCTCACGTGACTTCGGTGCGGGCATCACAGGTTCAGTTCCTGCTGGTCCATCTCTACATGTGATGGTCTGTGGTCTCCCTCACACCCAAAGGCAATGGGGATAGACCTTAGCTGCCCTCCATAGTTGGTCACACTAAATAAAGACATGGTCAGAAAATGAAGAAGTCAAAAAAAACATTGCACGTGTGTGTGACAAATGTTCGCAAATCCAGACGAAAATTAACAGGTCGAATGCTGTATGTAAATAACATTTTTACTTAACACCTACTGTAATTGTAGTACTTTCTCGCAGTCGTAGACATGTCCAGTATGTGACAGCTTTGCTCTTGATTCTCATGTTGAGTCTTGAGAAAAAACAGAAGCGAGCTCACAAATACCTTTTCTGTCATCGAGAAGGAAAATGAGTAAAAGCCGACTTGAGTCACACACAAGTAGGAGTCGTTGCCGTGATTGCAGCTCTTTTGATGAGATGTGATAAAAGGGAAAAACAAATGACAAAACCTATTAACAATAAAAACCAGTGAGATGCAATGGGAGTCTTTTCCCACATAAACTATTAAGGTGCAATACTGCTCCTGTCCGGGACCACGCGGCATCAATTAGCCTGAGAGAGAGGAAGGTGGGCCCTTTGTTTTATTTCATGATGTTAGCAACGCTCCAGGTGTCTAATAAAGCATTAAGCCTGCCAGCAGCAGTTAACAGTTTGTGGGGATCTTTTGCTTCCTTTCTCATATGACTTGTAATAAAGGAACACAATTTTCATGGGGGGGGGGGTGCGGGGGGGGCAGCAGAAATCAATACTGATATGCTTTTGGGGGGTATAAATCCTCCACGTAGACCCATTTAACCGTCACATGCTATAATGCAGAAGTAGAATGAACATAACGATGAAGGGAAATTGGGCACATGGGATGGCAGAAAGTGAAAACAAAATACATACACAAAAAAATATATTTTATACACACACACACACACACACACACACACACACACATATAGGCAGCCTGGTGATCGAGTGGTTAGCACATTGACCTCACAGTACAGAGGTCGCGGGTTCAATCACGGCTCCGGCCTTCCTGTGCCCGCGTGGGTTTTCTCCGGGTATTCCGGTTTCCTCCCACATTCCCACAATACGGTGATACTCTCAGCCAGAGACTCGAGGCTAATTTCTCAGCGCAGCCAATAATACGACGTGGCACAAAAGCGGCGGCCCCAAGGCTACTAATCCCATCCGTCCATACATCATCTTGAGTGCCTGTCCTCATTCAGGTCACAGGTGAGCTGGAACCGATTCCAGCTGACTTTGGGCTCTGGTCCAGAAACATTTCATTCAGTCTACATAAAGTAGAACTGAGATTATGGATTTATATCATACTAATAAATATCATTGTGACTTCTATCAATGATAAACTAATTTCTTCTGAACACAACTTCTTTCAATGGGAAATTTTGAAAGTCAATTCAATTTAAAGGTTTGTTCAACTCAAGTTCATGGATCCACGCCAAACCTGGATATTTCCTTCTTTGGCCCAATCTACATCCATCAGGAAACGTTTCCTTGAAAACCAGTTAAATAGCTTTTGAGTTCGGTTGGTAACAAGTGTCCATAACAAACTCAGAGGGGAAAACATCACCTCCTGCCTTTATTTCAGATCTAGTACTTAGTGGACAAGTTGTGCCAGTTTATTAAGTGGTAACTGCGACACCTACCCAACACACGCACACACTACCTACCGCATGGCGCCTCGGCAAGGAAGGCAGCCGGCCGCTGCGCGAGGCGACCATGTGTGATATGACAGGTCAAAAATGTGGAGCGGCTAGTCACCTCCAACCAGCTGGTGGAACCTGCTGATAGACAGACACTTAAATATCTGCTTCCCAGGAGCACATTTGTTACACTTTGAAAAGAGTCTGGACTCAGAGTGTGTCTGCGCAGAACGGTGTCCTCGCTCTCGCCCGCACTTTCTATTTCTGCTCCTCAGCCCAGACTTAAACATCACTGTACAGCGCGGTTCTCTTGGGCCAAGCGTCTTGTATTTATCGCCTCCGAGGAGGAATAAATCTTTATTTTATGTAAGATTTCCTCTCTGCAATGTCGCTCATTTGAAATTCAAAGTTGTTCTTGGTTACCGGTGCCCATTACTTGTCACTCATTTAGTTTGACAACACGACCAGCAAGTATTTCAAAGGTGTTGAGTTGTTTTTTTAATTATTATTATCTTTTAATCGGTTCTGTTTTATAGTAATTAGGATGATCCCCCATGATTAAAGCGATTGTTAAGAACTTTATTGTTGTGGGTTTTTTCATGCTGGGGAGGTGATTGACTTTTGATCCCTCAGAGGTTCGATTGTTTCAGTCTTATCAAGTACTGCGTTTTGGTACGACAAAACAGGAGTTCAAAATGTCCAAAGATTCTCCCATCCCATATATAACACATGCTTGTTATCCCCCCCCACCGATATTCCCATTTTACGATTATTTGGAGTTACGAGCTGTCAACCAGTTGATTTGTGTGTGTGTGTGTGTGTGTGTGTGTGTGTGTGTGTGTGTGTGTGTGTTATTTTTTGCAAGCCAACATTTAACAAATGAGTTTGACATTCACTGCTGCGCGAGTAAAATGGAGAGGGGGGGCGGGGGGATAATGACGTTGGCCGATGCACTTTCAGCTCTTTATTGCACAGCAGAAACAGTCAAAACAGACAAATCCAGTCCAATCCAATCCAGTTTTATTTAGAAAGCCCTTTAAAAACAACACTGTTGACCCAAGTGCTGCACACAAATTCAGTAAAAGGCCCAAATAGACAACAATTAAAAAAATAATACGAATAATTAATTGTAACACTGCTTAAACAGTACACAATGAAAACACTGCATTATAAGGCGCATAGAATAGTGGCTACAATAGTGGCTGCGGTTGCACTATACATCCACTAGATGGTGCTACGCTAATGCGAATACAACACAACACAGCTTTGTATTGAGCAAAGCCATGCAGAACTGGTCACAAACATGAAACATAAATACAAATGGCATTCCAAAACAATCAACGAAAGACAAACGTTATGAAGACAGTTGATTGAACAAAAAGGCACACAAACCTCGTGGGCTCACATGCATAAGGGGCTAAATATCCTTCGAGGTCTTGCTTGTCTCCTTCTTCCTTCATTTAGTCAGCAGTTAACTATGCTTTTGGTATGAGCTTCGTTTCATAATGGCTGCACAGAGTTGACAAAGTAGTTGTCTGTTGGCGAAGTGTGTGTTGGCGAATGCACATGACGATTAGTGTCGGGCAGGACCCTTTTAGGTTACAATTGGTTCCTGCTAATAATCACCACGAGATGGCATAGGAACACTAGCGGGGAAACAACTCAATGGGGAATATAAAGAAACTCTAACTCCATGTATAAGGCGCATCGGATTATAGGGCGCACTGTCAGCTTATGAGAAAACTGAATATTTTTAGGTGCGCCTTATACTGCGGAAAATACGGTACTTGAATTTTGGAAGAGACCGACTCTGTTCTCATTCTAGAAGTAATTAATGGCAAGAAGGTGGCGAAAGGTCATCCAAACATGCCTTTACGGACCATGTTGGACCTAAAAATGGCCTTCCCCCAAACTCTTTCCAATAAACCGGAAGCATGTGGTTGTATGAATTGTCTTAACAAGTTGATTAGTTAAGTGTTTTCAAGAAAACTAAGGGATCAGAGTCATTGATTGGTTTAAAAAAAAGAAAAGGGTGTTCGACGGATACTTTTGAATCACATATCAAAGTTGTCCAAGGTTTCTTGGCTCATTACGTGTCAAATTCTCTCACAATGCAAATTTTTGTAGTTGCAGATCATTCATTCAGGGTTTCAGTGCACCTCTGCGTGATCAATTGTCTTAAATGCATCAATGAGGTGCTTTAATTCATATATGCCAACAATCATGGGTTAATTGCAGCTCGACGGAGAGAAAAGTTGGTTTGATTTCCTCCTTTCCCAAAGACACAAATTTCATCCTTTCATTGTTTTGTTGTGTCGGCTGCTCAGCTTGATGGGGGAGAAAGTTACACCATCGGACTGCGCTTCGCCCCCAGCCAGAGTGCGGGTTCAGTGGAGATCCTGGTCTACGTGAACAACCTGGAGGAGAAGACGGAGGAGACGTTCTGCGTGAAGGTCAACTACTCATGAATCCGTGGCTGTCAAATGCGCGCTTTTGTTTTTCTACAAAAATATCTCCTTTTGTACTCGCTGTATGAGCCTTTTGTTTTCTATTGTGTATTTGTGAGACTTGGCCTATTAGTTGCTGTCTGAATGGACAAGAGGAGGCTTTATTTTTGTGCTATTTTAACGAGCCTTCCCGAAATAAATCAAACGCTGACCAACACAACTTAATCATCTCAGCCGTTACTCTCTTTGTCCCCGGCTTAGCATTTTTTCCCTCCTTTGAGGTGTCCAGCCAATATTACATGACAGTTCATCCCCGACCATCAGGAAGGGCACTGAGGGTGAAAGCAATAACATTTTATGAACTTTAATTACCCAGCAAACACTCTTCAATGCCACTTTATAGTCAGGTTTTAATCTAGCACAAGCCAGGGGTCCGCGTCCCCCTCACCTTCCAAACAATTTATCCTCATCGCGCCATTATTAGATGCGCCGCCATAATGGGGGTATGATGTTTTTAAGCGAGGAGCACCCTTCCCTCTTGCTGCGTCTCGCGCAGAGAGAACGGCGTGCACATTGTGTTACATAACGGGCCCGTTACGCAATCCCCTCCGCCCCCCTCCTGTCTCGTTTTCTCCCTCATTAGAATGCAGGCGGCAAACTAAGCTTTGAGCGCGGCAGCGAAAGCTAATAAAATGAAGATAACAGCCCAGTCGGGTACACTTCATCTTTACCTTCTCTAATATGTGGTCCGAAGCGAAATGCTCATTTTCAGATCTTGACACGGTGCTTCCACACAGTATCAAATTTTTATGAGCAGAGAGTACCGGAGGTCTATGAAAGGGGGTACAATGTTGAGCATAAATCATTCATTTTATTCCACACATAAATAGTGATACTTATCTCAAATGATATGTGTTGAAGTCAATCAGTCGAAGTCCAAATGTAGGTTAAAACAAAACAGGACGAGAATAAAGAAAATGCTGAGGATCGGCAAGACCCAAGACTGGGTAGAATGCCTCCACACTTTGCATCCGAGCGACTGTTTACAGGCTCGGGTAGGTTGATTGTGATTGCGTAGGATCATCGAATTGGGGTGAGGCCCACATTTGTTTTATGCCGAGGATGCACCCGGAGATTTACGGAGACCCCCCCCCCCCATCCATGAAAAGTGGAGGAGGAAATCATTTCTTACCATGAAACATGACACAGATTGTTGACATGCATGGACCCATTTGACTTACAGCTTACGGTTCTCCAATTGGGGGTGTGCGTACACCCGGGGCGACGTGAAAGCACTTCGGGGAGTGTGTGACATTTTGAAATCTATTTTAAAGCATTCATGCAAAAAAAAAAAAAAAAAAAAAAGCTTGATTGCAGCAGTTGCATCACTGCCAACAAGAATGACAAAGATCCTCGTGAGGCACAAGCCCAAAGTGTCTCACAGAAACGTGTCACAAAAAGCAAAAACAGTCAGGGCCAAAAAAAGAACTGTGGCCTCCTGATAGCACCTTCAATTGCTCTTCATTTGGATAAAAATTTGGACATTGACCCAATTTTTAGCATTCCAGCTCTGTCCAACACCGCAATGCATTTGAAATGGAAACACTCAAGATGCTGGTTAACATTAAAGGCACGAGAGGCTGATTGGATGTCGCCGGCGACGATGAATGCACTGGGCCTGCCTGAAATAATAACGGAACGATGACTGACGGACTGACCTGCTCCCCACCCCGAATGCATCATCCACACTTGAAATGAACTCTTGGCCTTCGATCAGTTACTTGTAAGTGAAATAAGGAGGCAATAGCCAATCGCTTAAAAAGGTGGAGGCACTTAAAAAGTGTGTTGTCATTCCTGCACTGTTCACCTGATCCGGATGTCAATACCCTTCAAATTAAAGCTTAGTCCGCGCTTAGCGCACATCATGATTGTTTCATTTTAAATCCATTGCGGTGTTACACAAAGCCAGAATGCTGACAATTGCGTCAAAGTCCAAATATTTATGCAGCCATCTCGTGACCTCTGCGTCCCGCGTCCTAGACGCATAATTTTCCCGCCAGACGCAAAGTTTCAAATAATGTGCGTTTTTGGGACGCAGGGAAATTTCTGAGTCAAAAAAAAAACTACGGTAAATCTTTTTTTCCAGCAACGAACACAGTTTGAATCACCGCCATTGTTGTTTTGATCTCGCGTTAAGTAATCTCGCGTGACGAGATTTCCGTTCTCGCGAGACGAGATTGGCGAGAACGGCCTTCACTTCGTGGAAAGCAACGACTGCCAAGTTGTGTAACGTTCAAACAAATGTTGCGAACAAGTGTTGCGAAAGTTTATTGCGGAGATATGAACTCAAAGACTGAACCATGGGATGAAATAAGAACCTATTTCTCAGCAAATCTATGCCTGAATGATTTAAATTTTTGCAGCATTTGTTTATAAGAAATAAACCTATTACCAATGTATATCGGTGTTGTTTGCGTTATTATCATATGCAATTGAATCAGTAGACCACTTCACAATTCGAAATTTGGGACTCTCTAACTGCATAATGGGACTCATACTTTTCTGATCAGCGAGTCCCTGGGACTTGCAGGGCTCAAACTGTAAAATTATCACTGTTTATGGACCTGAAAACAACCTCCCAAGTACTAAGTCCAACTAATAGCACGAGCTACCACCGAAGCGACGCAGAAAATCATGCTTGATATTGAAAGAATGCGATAAGCTATCAAAGGATGCCTCGCCGCTGTAAGCCATGCAATTGCATCTCTGGTGATAAATGGGTCGCTGTTCTCTCTTCCAGTTGTGTTTTTTTTTTATGTATTGTCAAAACCAGAGTAATTGCCTGGCCCAAAGTGCAACCCTCAGTCGCACCAGCATGGTTTGCTCTCTCAGCAAGGTCCAGGACACTTTATAACACCTTCTAAGTGCTGCAAGACCAGTCCCTGTCTGCTCCACAGAGACGGGGGAGGTGGAGGGGCGCAGACTCTCTGTGTCATGTTAACCCCCACCCACTACCTGATATCACCTTCTCCCTCCCCAAACTGTCTGCTCACCTTGTTAGCGCGCGGCTCCTTCCTGCCAAGCACTACAGCTGGGAGGTTGACTAGACCAGTGCCTCTTATTGCCCTCATGTGGAGCAACCCCCCCCGATGACCTCCAGCTCCCACCCGAGTAAGTGCAACACATCAACACACCCACGCACGAAATGACTGAGGGGCATCACAGTATGTCTGTCAGGTGACAGTTTGCGGGCGCGTGTCATGAGCACCCCTGTAGCTACGGAAGAGCTTTGTAAAAGAATATCTGTCTGTGTGTGCGCAGCCAGCTCTCCACCTCCTGCACTTGAGTTCGGTTTTTATGTCCATGACTGCACCGAATCCATCTTGTTTACATCATTTAAAAAAAAAGACTGGGCATATGAAAAGCATTTTAAAGAAAGAAAAGCAAAAATGGTACCGATGTGTTAGTTTTAATACACGGATTACCCACACACTGACATTAATCCTCCTCCAGTCGCCGCCATCATGCAGCTTGACTTGTTTACTCAACAAAAAACGCTGCCCTCGTGTCGCCCCTGGCGTGTGTTTTGAATGTAATTCCGTAACAACGGTGTGACAACGGCATTGTTTTGTACAGTCAGGTCCCCGCTGTTTTTGGCGCTCCCATTGACAGGCAAGACATGGCCGCGGCACTGATTTTTAAACATTCATTGAGTGCCGAGCGGCGAGGCGTGACAAAGGCACAATGTCGCCGCCGTGAAATGGCTGGGGGGGCTAAAGCCAAAACCTCACATCAGCTTTTAGAACTCCTACGTATAAACTCATACGGCGGTTCACTGCCTCACAGATCTCAGTGTTCATCAAAAATGAGGCAGAGGTTTTCTTCATCCGTCCATTTTTTCGGACCGCTTTATCCTCATATAGAGGATATTATTTATTGTAAGCCGCTGCAACATGATGCATAGCGTGAACGTGAACACCGTGCTGTAACATGGAACAATAAAAACCTCAATTTAAATTATGATGACATTATAATATGTTGCATACAAGTCAAATAAAAACTGTGCCGAAATAAATGGTTTAAAAAGTACGTGTTGTTCTTAAAAGTTAAATACAACTGAATGTAGGGTTACGAAAGCTCCGCCGAGACTCCACTCGTGATGGCTGGGAGAGAATTATAATGACTTTCCTCACCAGACCGTCAAAGTGAAATGTAAAAAGGGCAGACAACTTAACCGCAGGAAGTGCACCACGCCCACAAGGAACACCTGAGGTAGCCCAGCTCCCTGTCACACCACGCTGCTGTGACGGAGTGAAAACTGGTATAAACAAAAGCACAGCGCCCTGTGCCCGAAGGGATACAACTGCAGAACAGAGCGCACATACCTCGTGGCAAAACCCAACACCACTCTGTGCCGTACAAGCGCACGCGGCACGCCAACACGCACGTGTCTGCCGACTCTGAGAGGGAGGAAGAGAAAGAGGAAGTTCCAAGCAGGTGTATTTATAGACGGACATCCGGTGATTGATGGCCACCATGCCACACTGCCGCTGCAGTTGGGAGCGCGATTCCAAACGATCGATGGATGGATGGATGGATGGATGGATGGATGGATGCATTTTTTTTAATCTTATCTTATCTTATGAGATAAGATAAACCTTTATTTGTCTCACAATGGAGAAATTCACAATTTACAGCAGCAAAATTTGGAGGGAAGAAAGTAGAAAAACATGAAGTGTTTGCATGGACAAAATAAATTTAAAAGATGAACTGTACACAATACAGAATGCAATATAAAATATAAGATATAAGCACATATGCTGCATAAGGTGGCTGTGCTATATGAAATGGGTGAGTGGGGGGTGAGTTCAGGTTTTCAGGTGCCTGACAGCAGTCGGCAGGAACGAGTGGCGGTACCTCTCCTTCTTGCAGCGCGGGTGTATCAGTCTCTGGCTGAAGGAGCTGCCCAGTGCTGTCAGGGTGGCTTGGAGGGGGTGGGAGGGTCTGTCCATCATAGCTGTTAGCTTAGCTAGCATCCTCCTGTTACCCACCTCATCCAGAGTGTCTCGGGAGCAGCCCAGGACAGATCGATAAGATAGATAGATCAGGATTTTGGAGTGGCCAGTGGCTCGACTGAATGATGTGTGTTTGCTTGAAAACAAAGACGTGAGACATGAGAACAAAGTTCTTACCTCTGACTTTGCCCCCCGAGTGCACACAAACAACATGCTCCGAATCAAACGTTTATCTTTCGAGTTTGGTCTTGCACCCAAAATCTCCATTTGACAGTCATGTTAATGTTAGCAAATGATTTATGAATCTATTCACATCTTGCACTTTCTACTAAAAAACAAAACAAAACAAAAAAAGAACAAAAAAACGGTCATAGTCCAAAAATAGAATTTGATCAAAAATGGTAAATGGAGTGCATTTGTATTGTGCTTTGTCTTCATCATGTGTTTACAAACGCATTCACTTCTCTCATTCAAACATATCGGAGTGGAGCCTCCCTACACTAGGTATCAACCCACGAAAAGGTTTTCCTTTTTAGTGTAAAATAACTTACTTTAATCACCAGGATCCCGCACCATATCCTGGCCGATGACAGATCTCAGAGTATTTTTCCAATTTGGTCCCCTTTTAAATCCATTTTTGATGTGCTGTAATAGCCTTGTCCTCGCTGGCGCTAAGCTAGTTTGTCCTTCAGGTCCGATGTTTTCAAAATCCCTTTCGTTTGTTGCCTAGCTAGCTTGATTGACTGACTGCTTGACAGTTGAGTTGAATGCTCATTACCCGGCCAGATATTCCCATACACATGCAAGTACTTTTGGGCAACCGGGCCACCTAAAAGGATCAAACGGAGGAACTGGAATTGGCACAGGAATTCTTCACATTTTTACAATGCCCAAACCTACTGAACTGTACTTCACAAATATCCTTAATGGATTCAAAAAGAGTTTTTATTATTCCTATTTTTCATTTTTACTGCAGTATGAATAAATTGTGCACTATTTACCTTAAAATAACAAATGGCCCCAACCACAACCTACACAGATTCCTCCACTGTTGAGATAAATTCTTCTGAATGGGTAATGCACTTTGATTTAATCTACCAATGTAGAATAATGATTATGGGGGAAAAATGAATGAAATATGTTGGTGAAAACAAAATTAAAAGAAAGTGGAAAAAAGCACACACACACAAAAAAAGAAGGAGCTGTCTTGTCTTATTTTCAGGCAGATGACGGTCAAAATAGACATGACGCGCAAAGAGCTCCAAAACAATTGAAATTCTATTACCTTGCTACCCATCTGAGAAAGACTTCCTTTGAGCCATTATCGAGGGGAAATACAGAATGAGTGGGGGTTGTTGCGTGCGAGCCTGCTATTTTGCACACAACAACAGGGTGGAGGACAGATGATCGTTGGTAAATGGCAGCAAATTTCACGGCGCAATTTCCAACAGTTATAGGCTTTGTATAATTTATT